AAATGACGTACGGACACCGATGTGGCGGGATTTAACGTGGTCCGGTATAACAAGGTTTCGCTGCATACAATACATTGGACTGTTATCCTGTTTTTAAAGTACGAGCAGAGAGTGGCAAAGTAAACACAGGATCGTGTTATCAACCTAATTATTCACACATGATTAATAATATATCACTCAAGGGAGGGGGGGGGGGGGGGGGGGGGGGGGGGGAAGTTCTAAACATATCCACACTTACGTTTTTCTCATATGACAGGAAAAGTTTAACACATCACAAAAATTCATGACCTTCAAAAATAACACATTTCGACTTGTATTATTAACAACAATAGAGAATACACAAACAGAGTATGGTGTAATGACCGAAACTGCATACACCCATGTTTGATGGTAGCTAAACAGTAAAACAAACAAGAAATAAATGGTTTTTCGATGGTGATGTATTTCATACGGGTATCACACGAGTGTTTTGGACCCTCAAGTTTGCAGTGTGTCGGTGATTGTTTTCAGCCCAGTAACGTTTTAATCCAATTTTCTTTTGCCCGACAAAATGTGCATGTGTGGCCTGGATGCAGTGATAGATAGCGTTCATATAAGTATGTCCGCTATGCCACACATCGACGTGATAAGGAACCGCTGATACTGTTTGATGTGGGAATGTGGGCATTCATTCAGTACACAAACAGGGCGACACTATCCAAATATCCCCTAGAAAAGTAACCGTTAACTTGGAAAAATCGGAAATATAAACTCGGAAATGCCTCAAGATGTATATGTCTCCAATAGCTCAAATAACACACAAATTGCGGGTTTGGAATATATGAAATATCAGTTGGAATGCAAATAGCCATCGGATATACGTTAATCCTGCGTCCCACAAATCACATGGTATTCAGTGCATGTTCTGCGACACTGTAAGCTTATTCAGCACAGCATGTACATGGATTTCGTAGTTAACACTTTTCCACATCTTTGCTTATTTTAACACTCTATCCGTAACTTTATTTCTTCATATATTATCATGATGGTATCGTCATGCCCTCTTGTGCAACAATATCCCTGTTCAATATTTAAATGGGTGTCTAGTCTTGTTTGCTTGAGATATTCTCTTGATACCCTCAGCGTTATTGCTACTTATAACATATGTGGGTTCACGGACAACTGTAGCATCGTGCTCAGTCGTTGCATTTTCCTCGTGCAAACTTTCTGCTGTTACTTATTTGTCTTTGTTTTTAATTGAGATGACAGTTATGAGTGTGCGTATGATTGCTTGAATAGTGCAAATTATCAGACATATCCCCGTGCGAATACGTGTATCAGCCCTCCAGAGTTCCATGTTTGTTCAAGGTCATTTAAGATCTTTTGTACTTGTACTTGCAAAGGTACATGTGAACAATGGGTACAACTATCTTACCAGATATATTCCGATGTAAATATTTGATTTAAATCACGTTAATATCATGTCTGTTCAGTGTCATTTGTGATCTTTTGAACTTGACAGTAAGCGTATCATTCCTTGAATAGTGCAACTAACTTACAGATATATTCCGATGCAAACGTTTGATCTAAATGCATAGAACCATATCATGATAATACCATGTCTGTTCAATACCATGTGTGATCATTTGCACTTAATAATGAACGCATCATTCGTTGAATACTGCAACTATCGTACCAGATATATTCCGATGCAAATGCATCAACTCTCATCACGAGAGTACAGTAAAGTACTTTTATAGCGAACACGCTTATAACGAACTGACCGATATAACGAACTTTTTTTTAGTCCCGACCATTTGCTGTATAAATGCTGTGTATATGCGAACTACGGTTATTACGCACTAAAATTAGTGGTCCCTTTTGAGTTCGTTATAACCATAGTTTACTGTATCATGTTTGTGTCATTTGTTATCAACAACTATCGATTGTACGGTGCAGTGCTCACAAAGACATAGCTATACTTTATTGTGTAAACCACCTACATCTGTGAACAGCTCTCATCACAAAGGCAAGCAATAAGCCAAAAGGCTGACTCATAATGAGCAGTTATCGTAGGGCATAAATCTCCTCACAGTGTCAGAACACGCCTCATTTCAACCGTAATTCTAAACCAAGGAATGGTCGGATGGTGCCTAGCACTGCTGAGAGCTGACGCTAAGAGACGGTAGCTGCTGTATGGTGTATCGTTACACGCCAGCTCTGAGGGTTGACCTGACCTTAAGATTGGGGGCGAGATGAGGGTAGAGAGGAGCTCGTTTGTTTTGCCGCCAAAACATGGATGCTGTCAGCAACAAGTACAGAAACCAGGAAACATGAACATGTTTTAACGAAATTATTACAACACCCCATTGTCAACTTGAGGTCGCAATGATAACTGGAAGTAATTCAAAATATAACACCGTACTTTCAGATACCAATTACGTGAAATTTAAACGGCTGACACACAACGCCATGTTGGAACAAAGCCTTACGAATAAATCCTCGAATACAAGACACCCGGTGTTAAGAAGCCTTTCCAAACACAACGTATCAACCTAGCACCACACAGCCCTGCACACACCACGTGGCGCACCATCCCACACTATTTGCTTATCTCAAGGAACGCAGTAGACAGAAACTTGGCAATGAAGTCAGGCCAGGCGTGCATCGTCTCTAATCCACTAATTACGTTATAGACCTGTTGATCATCTCGCTGGCGATGGGGGTCAATGAAGTTGCTTCAAGGGTTCCAGTCTTCCCGTGAATGTATGTCTGCCCATGTCCTCATTCATGCAGGTTGTGATGACTCTTCATACATCACAACCACGCTGAACAAGGACACATGCCACATATAAAAGCAGCCAAGTTACCTCCTGACGTGCTGTCTCCCGCCATCATGTGTACAGACCTTCCTCAAGACGGTCCCATGTCCAACCAAGTTTCCCGCCTGTCCTTTTGTCGTCTGCGACTACGTCTGTGACAGTCTGCTGTGGGAACCCGCGAAGCAGATGTAATTTAAGAAGTAAATTTGAGAATTAATACCCTCTGTACCGGGGCTAGCTAGCAGGAAACGCGTTCTGATTGGCTGCAAATGATTTGCTTTGAAATTCTCCCATAAGTTTATAACGTAGATGACTAATGGAGAACGGCAAGGCTGAGAGCTGTTTTCCTGCCGGCTCGGGCGAGTCGTGTTGCCCCCTTGTGTACATCCGCACTGATATATGACACCGAAGCTGATCGAAAACTGGACATTTATACCACAGCTCTTTCAAAAGCGACCTAACCAAACAGACGTGGCTCCTAAATCATCAAACAAAATATTCTCAGTAAAGTGATCGCCTTAATGATACTAATCATTGCTGGAAACAAGACCAAATGTCCTTAATTACTTGAACCAAGGCTGTAAATGCTTGCACTAGTTCCCACTGCCTGAGACAACCGATGTCAAAGATCTAATGACCCTCATCTGCATGTCGTCCTCACAATAGGGGTGAGGGTAGTGTATGGATATCTAACTTCACAAGGAACATGCACAAAATTGTATTTCTGGCAGATAGTAGGCAACATAATTATACGCACTAAGTACATTATTTAGTACTGCAGCCTGGTGGTCTAAGTGTGGAATATTCATTCACACATACAAAATAGTACCTCGTCTGTGGAATGATCCGAAGAGATTCTCAGACTAAGAACCAACAGGGGGTGGCACGGAGAGGGGGAGGGAGGCAGAAGAACGCCGCTGTTATCTCGTTTTCTTGTGTTTACTGATTCCAGATAAACGGTAAGGAAGTAGGTCACAAACAGAAGCTAGCAACATCAGAGGGCAGGTTGCCAGACTTGACCTATTTAGACAAATGTGTGCTACCGAACAGTTGCAATTTCATTCAAATGAATTAGTTCAGTTAGGAAAGATTCAAATCGGTTTTTGAGGTTTTGCGTTTGTAGCGTGTACATTACTTTAAAAAAAAACATATGGAGTTCTTTCCATATTTGGTAATGTCATTATAAGTACTGGTATTGTTTGATCACATGTCACACTTCCTCATTGCCTCGCTACCAAATATGGTCAATAATACTTCGTGCTAAATTCGTACGAGTAGGCAACCTCAAGTCTTACAATACACCATCTGATAATATAGTGTTGTACAAGTATGATTAATTTGTCAAGATCAAATATATCTTCAGTACTGACCAAAATATAGTTATATTCAATTAATTTTGAGCAGTCATTTCGTAAATGTATGAGAGTATGCATGTCCAGATCAGTCACTAACATTAAGTCTCAAATAAAAATGTTAAAACATTTTTTTGTTAAATTGTCTTCTTCTTTTTCATTCAATTCTGTTGATGATGTACATCATATAGCTAATCATAGGGTGCAGGCTAGGATACAGGTGTACATGTCACTATCAAGTCATCAGGTGGACATATCACTTTCGATCAACAGGTGGTGACAGTAGCAGGCTAATTGTCTTCTAACAAATAGGAGAAGCCCAGGCAAATGTTTCCTATTGAAACAGAAACTAGACTTGCCAAAGTAGTGTAGTCTCATGTGCTTTCAGGTATATTTGTTTCTGGGTCTGTAACTCTGTATGCACAGGACTAAATCAGACATGGACTACTGAGGTGCAACAGTTACAGCAGCTGAGTATCGCAGAGTGACCTGTGCGTTAATGATTCTGGTTTGTGAATCATTGCATACTACAGGTGATATCAGGTGAAATGAATTGAACGTTGCTTTCAGTTACAGTGTGAGTGTGTGTGTGTGTGTGTGTGTGTGTGTGTGTGTGTGTGTGTGTGTGTGTGTGTGTGTGTTTGTGTGTGTGTGTGTGTGTGTGTGCGTGCGCTTGTACAAGTCTAGACATATGCTGATTTTATAGTGCTAACCCACTGGTAAGTCTGTACTCATTGGCAAGTAAATTCACATCTTGTAAGAACGTTGCCCCTCGATCACGACCGCGACGCGAACCCTTCGCGTCGCGATCACGGTCGCGCGAAGATTTGCAGCGTACATTACTTACTTAAATGTGAGGTTTTTCTTTTCCCACTTTGTCGGCGCCAACAAATATCTCTTCCTCCGTCGACGTACTGCATCGAAGATATTCTCGTCGCTGTTCCCGCATCTGGGTTTCTGCATCAACTCGATCGTCCTCTGATCCACTATGCCTGTCTCTGGTATCTGTCCGACTCTCTGGAAATTCTTGATGGCCCTTGTCATGTCTTTCTGGGACATGAGGTTCCCCGTCTCCTGGCTTGGACCTGACAGGTACTTGAACTTTGCGAGGTATTCCTGGAAAACAAAAGAGCGACTTTCATTATTTTTGTCAATAACATAACGAACATGCTATAGATTTTTTTAGTAATTTGACCTCTGCCTTGGTCACAGAAAACCTCTTTGTACCTTAGTCAAGGCAATTTAAATAATTGACATGTTAAATCATTTCGCGATCAATTAAGTCGTGCCAATGTTCTCTCTGCAGTCTCTCTATATATATATTGATAGGATAGTGAAAGCGGTAAAACAAGTAAACAATGTCCTTCTTGTGAGTGAGTGAGTTGGGTTTAACGCCGCTTTTAACAGTATTCCAGTTATATCGCGGCGTGTCAGCTTAATGTGGGAGGAAAGCCCGAAGTGATGCAGGTCTCAGACGTTTACCACGTCGGTGAAACCCACGAGCACGGGTATGGTGCTGACAAACCTAGAAACATAATCGGGACGAACCGGGATTCGAACCCAATCATAGGTTTCTGGCGTGCCAAAGGGACGCAACTCTGCACAGCGAATCGCGGCGCCTTAGATGACTGGGCCACCCGTGCCCCCTACAGATTTGAAAGGACGTCAGACAGTCTATGGTGTAGGTTCTATTTTGGATGAATTGTTATGTACATGTATAGGACCTTTGTTATACCGGTTTCGGTATTGTTCTTGTTATGTTATGTAATGTATTGAATTCAACAAGGGGCCATTATTCCACAAAACTTAATCATGTTTGAATGTACATCAAGCACTAATTAAATCAGGGGGATGATACAGAATAACAGCGCCATCATGCAGGTATACATGTGACACTAGTTATTTATTTTGACATGCAAAGGAAGGTATGGTATTGTTTCTACCGTTTCAGATAATATATATTTGATTTAAAATAAACAATGTATCAGAACATTAACGTTTGTATATTCGTGATTGGTATGATTAGATTAGATTAGATTGCAATAAGTATGCACCACGTGAACGTTTTTTCTCGAAATAATACGTTGAGCTTAACTGAATTCGACACTCTTTAACTGCATTTGTGAGAGATAAAAAGTAACACTCTGTTAGCTTAAAAGGTGCGTTTTTTATGGTGTTGGGTATATGAAAACTAATTGGACTTGTTGTTGACAAGTGACAGCACATTGACAGGAAGCGTTGCTATCAGTCTCCGCATCCTTCAGGGATGCATGTACTAGACAGCTGTGTCGAAAACAGGAAACACTTCGCATTGTAAACCTCGAGAGCCATAGCATGCTTGTCAGCGATCATTCTGCATCACTTTGACACAATCCTATTGAAGATAAGCCCCACATTGAATCGTCGAGTGCGATTGATGTAATATTCAGAACAACTGCCATCATGTCACATTTAAATGTGCATGTATATTAAATACATCAAAAGAGAACACGCTAGTGTTGAAAGTTTGTAGGCTCTGTACGGATACTTTGCATTGATCAAAGCACTGGGTATGTCAATACACAAAAACCGAACTGAGATCGCATTTGTGTTTACTGTTCTCGCTCACTTGAAGACGTAATGAAATCACATAAAACTTCATCGCCAGACATTGCACTAACTATCCTACGCTCCCCCTTAATCTCTCTCAGGCCCAAAGAAGCTAGATTGTAACTGAAATCTGCTCCAGTCACGAACAGCATCACTTCAGCTCTTCAAATCTTTACAAAACCACAATTTATCCAATACGTTTAGAAAATTGGTGTGAATTGGACGTCGCTATCCGCTGATCGATCTCGTGAATGAGTCGCTACGTTAGAGACTGATCTAATAACGCTACTTAAGTTCGGAGAGTCAGCTGGGGTACTGAAGTGATCGGGGGGTTGGGTGGTGGGGAGGGGAGCGAGAGTAAGACACAGAGACATTTATACCCGTGAATAGACACAGTACATGCTTCCACACTCTGTCCCTGAACTATCTTAGCTATGTGTAATTCATGAGAGGAATTCAGAGATGGTCCCCAAGGACCATGTCGGCTTGCTTGAAATCAAATATAATGTTGCCGACTTGGGGGTGAATAGCACCGGCGATCTGTATCAGTAATCATCAGTGTATGTAAACTGTTTCAATGCTGATATAACGATGATATGCACACATGTATTGTAAATGCCTTTGTATCGTAAATGATTTTGCTACAAATTACACATTGCAGAAATGCCGCAATGGCAAAAGACGCCCACTGTTGATGTGTTAAAGATGCAGGTTTTGAGTTGTCATAGATGTCATTATGCATGCCAACCCAAGTTAATAGCATATCGCATTTTGAAGTGTTGTGTAAGAAATTCAAATGTTAATTCGAAAAGACCCGGCGACCAGGAAGGCTATTAGCTGACTTCCGGTCACGTCCAACATGATTACCTCCCTTTGAGTGTCGTTTACACATGCTATAAATGACATGTATGTATATACATCATATATGTATGTCGTTAGCGTTTAAAAACCATAAGTATACACTCAATGTTAACTAGTTATATGAAACACGTTGTTATCAGACAGCTGCCGAATAAATTCACGGGAAGGCGCTAAACGAGTTATATCTGCCATCTGTTAAAACATGTACAAATTCTTCGAGAACATTATTACCCTGGGTGTGACGGTTGCAAAAATAGAAGAACTGTCTGTTTCCAGGACGTTCTAGGGGCGAATGTTCGCTGTCTCTCAACCGAAGAGCAGCGCTGCAATAGCTAGAGATGAAGATTACTGTCAACAGCCGTATACTTCAATCGAAATTGTTTTCGTTGTCATTAAGAAGCATAAACCTAATTCTTAGTTTTCCGAACAGTGACGGCCATATACACATACTGTGAAGGCATAGATAATCTATGAACGTGTTTGCAATTTCCTTTTTGTTCAAGTTGTGGTTGTGTTTTTGCATTTACAAGCTTATCTTTAGTGTATTAGTTGGATATTTTAACCTGTAACAATGTCCCTGTGCTTTTTCCAGTGAGGAATTGACTTGACTTTGCATGTGTCTATGCCCGTACAACCAATGGGGAAGGATATGCTCACCTTTTCGCAAAACACTTTGTATTATCACTATTTGATAGTGATTCATAAACACGTGAATGATAACCTCAGAATCATACTTTGCTTTAGGCAGAGATGTCATATGATTGTGAAAAGAGTTTTGTCGCTTTTAACCTACACCACATAACCTTGTGTGATAGAGTTTCGCCTTCCAACTCCCCGAGAATCTGTGTCCCGGTTAGTGCTCAGCACTGAACGGCTGACCTACTTTGTCAAGCAGCTGTCGCGACAAGGCGGTAAGAGTTGTCTTCCCTTGGTAAACGGCTTGACAGGCTAATTTCACGCCTAACTGCAAGCTTACCCAACTTCAACAAGTTGTAATGAATTATTTAAAGTCTTAAATACCTACAAATCTACATTCTCAGTTCTTTACAGCGCTTCTAAACTATATCCTATATTACATGACTCCACTGAAACCGAAACAGTTATATCTACGACCCATCCGTTCAGCAAGCATTTCGCATTATTTAAAGGAAAGCATTTAATTAAAGCAAATTCTATCAACTTTAAAGAGAACGCGGAATGTCCCTTGGGCAATTCTAATGACGCCTCAAACACACTAACAAGTGTTCCGATTAGAAGCTGATCAAAATAAGAGTCCAATATTAGCGGAATGATTACACTGTACTTGTAAATCAGGGTCGGTGCTAGTTGCCAATTTGCTGCCATTTCGTCTCCCATGCCCAGTAAATTACTATCGACTGGCGCGGGGAGTAGCTGCGCTGATGAAACCAATGATGGTGGAAGAGGAGAACGAGATCAGTTCAAGTCAAGCACTTTAATCTTATTACAACACAAGCACCGTTTACAAGCTCTCCGGCCCCTTGTGGGGGCTGTCAATGGAGATGAAGACGAAGGACTTTCCCCTTATTTTACAAGTCTCAGACAAATTTGACGAATACCATCTCAACGATTTGGGCAAATTGGCAGCGATTGGAGAAAACTGACAGAACTTTTGCTGTGACAACACGTCCTGCAGTGACAGCCGCCAGATAGTTAACCGCGTTGTGACGGTCACATTCGCGCATTCGCTTAACAACAGGGGAAAAACACGAAGATCAAGATGCAAACGGATTGACATCTTTGGTTTAACAGCAGGAGGTATGACCCAGTACTCTAATGCGTAATATGTATTTATGCACTCAGGAGAAGTGACATAAAAAAGATGTTCCAAATTGGACCTTCCGTATCACTTAAAACTTATTTACATGGCGTCCGTTCGACAAGGTTCTATGTAATACATATTATATATGTATAAATAGGAAGCTCTTTGCTAGGTTTATCAAAATACAAATGAATACTATTTTTTAATGTCATATGAACAATATTATACCAGTTGTTGTTATGAAGGTAAGTATATATACTGTTCGCAGTGGTTGATGATTACTATAAAGTGGATGTGTAGTGGTGTGTGTGTGTGTGTGTGTGTGTGTGTGTGTGTGTGAGTGAGTTTGGTTTAACAATACTTTAGTTATATCACGGCTTGTCAGTTTGATGTGTGATGAAAGCAAGATGCAGGTCTTAGACATAACCATTTGGTGAAAGGTGGTATGGTGCTGATAAACCAAGAATCGAACCCACTACTGAATATTCCTTTGGGGCTAAGTACGGAACATGGCGGTGCCTTGGACAACTGGGCCAACCGCGCCCCTAAAAGAATAGTGCCTTTACCAGTAGTTGAAGTGGAGGTAGAAATAACTGAAGAAGTAAGAGTCTTGGTGGTGAAGTGAAATGGGGTTTAACGTCACGTTCAAGATTAGTACACTTATGTGGTGACATGTACGTACGTGGGCGTCATTGCTGTCTGAGCTAGGCCGGACTAATGCCGGTTTCATAGTAATATCCCACAGAGATTGGTATGACGCCCACGGGGTTCGAACCACAGACGTCCAGCTCTCCGGGTAGTGGCTGGTAGTAGTAGTAGTGGTAGTAGTAGTATTTTGTTTGTTTTTTTTTAACGCCGCCCTCAGTTATATCCCAGCTATATGTAT